AAAAAAAAAAAAAAAAAAAAAAAAAAAAAAAAAAAAAAAAACTAAACACAAGAATATTATACATACTGCTTCGTATATTATATTATTTTATACGAATGCCGTTACATTATTACAGAAACAATCTTGTTTTACATAAATCGATAAAAAAAAACTTTGACCAGGGGAAGAAAAAATATATTATCGACTTACCTTCGCGAAATTGAATGACGTTTTCGTGCCTGGCAGTAATGATCATACAATGGTAACATTTTTCACCGCTGAAACGGAAGCTAGTTAATATAAATAATTAAATTAGCTGTCGTGTTAACATTTTCGCGACCAACCGTTCTTAGACGCCATTTTTTTTTGAGCACCGCGTATAATTTTGAGATCTATCTAATTAATTATGAATATTGCAAATTTCTACTATATAAATGTACGTAAAGAAAATGTGATAATATTTAAAATATTTCTTTATCATATTATGCTTATAATCAATAAGTTTAATTAATAAGTATCAAATGGTCAACACAAAATTTTAACACTAAACACTATTATACATTTAATAACATAAGATTCAAAATCTGTGTTTGTAATTTTGCTATATATCAATAATAAAAGAAAAAAGATCTAATTATTTTCAAAGTAAAATGCATTAAAAAAGAAAAAGAAAGAAAAAGAAAAAAAATGACACTGAATTTACTATTTTAATCCAAAATAACAAAATAAAACACACATATAATTTGATCAATCATAGTAAAAATTTAGTGTTGACATTATTAATTACAATCGCGAAAGTGTTCATTTTATCAATCGAATTCGAGTTATCGTTAAATAATAACGATAAATTGAATTTATATCGATAAATATACTCCCCATCCTCCTCAAAAAAAAAAAACAAAAAATGAAAAGATATTATTCCGTACTCACAACGTGATAAATTTGTCTTTTCTTCTTTCCACACATTTTCTTTCGCCTAACATCGTTGTATTTATGATAATGGGTACCGGTATTCCGTATTGATACCATTCTCCTGCCCAACTTGCTGGAAACTCACAAGAACCTGAAAAAGAGAGAATGGTAAAGATATATACATATATAAAGAGAGAAAATTAAACGCACATCCATTAAAATCGATTGATCATGATGATTACATTATGCATCCGTTAAAATCGATTGATCATGACGATTACTTTTCGTTAACAACCATCCCAAATATACCCCCATACACGTACATACATCGCCATATATACATATGAGTCGTTCAAAAGCCACTGCGATTAAATCCATGTTATAATATTTTCTGATTTTTGTGTAAATATTTTAATAAAAATAAATAATATTCTTTTTAATTTATTTGTAAGGATTTAACTCGTTGTTTCACTTTTTTCTGTTCTTCTTTTCTTTTTTTGTTCAGCTATTAAAAGGCAAAAGTTTTATCATATTTAAAAACAATTATATTTAGTCCCGATACATTTTTTTTTCAACGTTCTCATATGCACATTTTGTACGTATCTTGATTTGTTGCAGAACAAATCAATGTATCCAACTGATTATGAATATTGCAAATTTCTACTATAAAAATGTACGTAAAGAATGTGTTAATATTTAAAATATTTTATTTTATTAATATATTTTATATTTGAAATTTCCTTTGAAAATAGAAAAAAAAAAGACATTGTATACTTTTTCTGACCAAATTGAAGAGACCACAAATTTAGCAAAACAATTTATTCAAAAGCATGGATATTCTTAATGTTTGTTTTTAGATTTAACCAACATTGGTTATTGAACGATTCATATATACCTACCCTATTTAAGGTTTTAATGTATTATTATTGAATCGCTTTAGGAGCGCGTTTATAGTCGTTGGTATAAGAAGAGAATTGCGATAAATGAGAAGATCGATCGATATTTCATTAATCCCCCTATGGTTAATACGTCGAGCAGAAATTATTGCACGATCATTAAGTTTTCAAAAGAAGAGAAAGAGAGAAAGAGTGGGAACGCATGCGCGTAGTATTAACTGTTACTACATTCATAATTCTCCTAGTATCTACGTCGACGCGTATTACATTTAATTGCTCGAACAATCCTATGATTTAACTCTACCAGGAACAGCCAATTAACATCTCTCGGTGATGGTCCAGTAAGATAAAAGCCAGCGTGTTAGTCAAAAGGTGAAATACGCGTGTCGCTTCATTTTCACTTGTAATCATTAATTATCGATACTTAAATAAAAAAAAAAAAAAAAAAAAAAAAAAAAAGTCATTATATATATATATATAATTTACTCGACGAAGAATATTTTTCTTTTTTCTATTTTTCCTTTTTTTTTCTTTTTTTTTTTTTTTACTCCAATATTATCGGCAAACATTCTCCTCGTTTTATTTGGGTAATAATTCGTAGACATTTCTTCATTTTAATTTTTAACATTTATTTAAACAAAATCAATATAATCAAATGAATCATCATGATATTTGTTTTGGATTGTTTGAATTATCAAGAATATTTATCGAGAAGGATTACGTTAGTGTTTAATTTTCTAACATTTCTTTTATATAACACGTTAATTTGATTAACATTCAATGGAATTTATTTGAATTGGAAATAAAATTATTGGAGTATAAATAATATATAGCTATAAATAATTTATTGAATAATTAATAACAATAATCGAAGGACGTAATTGTATATTTCACATATCAGTAAAAAATTAATTATTTATTTCACTAATTGAAAAACAAAAAAAATGTTCAATCATTTCATACTTTTATACACTTTTACATCGCAATTACATTTTCCATGCGTTTCTATTTTTGTATATATAAAAAAAAAAAAAACCCACGAATAATTACTACCAGCTTGATTTAAACAAAAATTCAACTTCAAGCATAAATTAAAAGAAATACACGACACACGCATTAACGTATAATCTATTGTAAAAAAAATACAGTATAGTATTCGTCTAGAAAAAAAAAAAAAAAGGGAAGATTCCTATTGGATAATAAGTTGAGAAGTGAAGGGTAGGAACAATTGTAATGCATGTAAGATAAGTACCCTCCCTTGATATTCTCGTATGTTACACGCGATAGACAAAGAAAACTAACAATAACCGAAGGATGAGTAGTAGGAGGAGGAGGAGGAAGAAAAAGAGGAAAATACGCCATGTGGGTACCTACTTGCAAGTTGCGTTATAAAAGAAAAGGGAAAAAAAAAAAAAAAGACTGGGAAAAGAGTCGAAGAAAAAAAAAAAAAAAAAAAAAGGAACAAAAGGAAGTAGTAAAGGCGTCGTCGTAGCAATGACAGAAACTGTAAGAGAGAAAGAGAAAGAGAGATAGAAAATTTCGAGAGAAAAATCCGTAGGTAAACCGGAATACTCGACGGGGCACGAACGAGTACAATGTCCATGAAAGTATACACCACTACTGAGGAAGAAGTAATAGGAAGAAGAGGAACAAAAAAAAAGGAAGGAAGGAAGGAAAGAAAGAAAGAAAGAAARAAARAAAAAAAAAAAGAAAAAGGACACGAGAATAATGGAAGAAAAGGAAAAGGAATGGTATGAAACAAAATGGTCTGCCCGTTTTTCTCTGTTGCAAACGCCATGCAATCGGAAGTAAATATTAAAAAAGGGATGCTAAATTCTTAGATTAGTTATACTACTTTTGATTTTAACAATTGACCAAAGTATTATTCCCTTTGACGTTTCCGATCACCTGCTGATCATTGATATGACATGGGTGACCACAATTTATGAACTTTCTTTTTCCTTTTTCTTGGAATTAACTGAAGAATTATTATTTGACTATCTGTCATGTAATGTGGGTTTCAATGTGATCATTTGAAAAATTAATGATCGGTTTCTTTATTGCTTTTCTTCTTTCTAAAAACATTCCATTAAGGATACCTATTCAAAAAATTTACCGTAATATACGTGGGTTTCGGTTATTGGAAATTGATTTGTTGTTTCGTTTAAGAATTCGTCGATAAAATTTCTTCAAAAATCCTTGACACACAAAAGCGTGATCATTTTCTTTGGAATTGTAAAAGAAAACATTTTATAATTCTATAGGCAATCTAAAACGAAAAATTTATTGAGATATTGTTGATCTTTGGATGGAAGAAGGTTTTGTTATTAAATTACTATACTGTATAATATATCATATCTATAACTTTTTCTTTTTTTAAATAATCGTCCAAATGAATAATAATTAACACTAAGATCATACAAGACATTTTTTTTTTGTATATGTAACTATTTAAAAGATATAGAAAATAACAATAAATACAATGATTGTATTAAAATACAAATGTTTTCCCATTTGTAATCATAATCAACTGTTATAAATCCGAGATATCTAACATTGAATCAACGAATTCTAAATTTAAAACCCATTCATTTGATCGCGCAAAAGCATTTAACGTTAAATCGAGGAAACGAAAAATCAATCAACGTTTATCATAATTAATCAGGACGAAAATATTACGTTAATCGAGATATAGTTTATCGAATTAAAGAAGATTATTTGATTTTCAAATAAAAAAGAGATCGTTCAACGGTTATTACCTCCACCCCTTAGATTTTTTTGGCCGACTATGCGAGAACTCAGTTATTCACTCAGTCAAAAGTCTTCGGTACAGACGAAATGGGGTTAGGAGGGGGTTAGGAAGAAGGGGGTCGAGGAAAAGCGAACTAGACAGAAAGAAAGAGAAGAAGATAAAAAAAAAAAGAAAAAGAGTAAGAGTAAGAGAAAGAGACAGAGACAGAGACAGAAAATGAGAATGAGAATAGTGTGGTGCTTGCTTGCTAGTTTTCACGTAGCTTCGTCTCATCCGCGCACACGGGGTGCACTATTTTTAGCCGTGCCCGTAATTAATGCCCCGGTGTGGCACTGGCTTATTTCCTCGCTGTCATCTAATATTTTCAGAGATTAACTCTGTTTGCCGGTGCGCCGCTCGTTGGCTGAATTAACCGGCTGATTTATTTGTTTTTCATCTTGCGCTAGACTCTCCTACTCTCCTACTCTCCTATTCTCCTCCCCCCTTCTTGAATTCACCCTTCGATCCCTCCCCCAACACTCCCTCTAGTACCACTCACTCTTTCTCCCTTAGCCAATCGAACGCAAATCACGAGGATAGTTATTTTTTTCATTTTATTTTTTCATAAACGTCCAACAACGACGATCGGTTTAATCTTAATTTTGTGTTTCCTTTTTTTCCTTGTTTTTTTTTGTTAACTCGTTATCACTCGAAGCCGGCAGTAAAATCGCTAATATTAAACCGGAATAATTTATTATTGTTATTCGGTTTCAGTTCGTTCTGAAAATATAATATTTCTATTTTATTTTATATTTTATTTGATTTTTCTAACAATTTTTAGCGAAGTATAATGTTTGAATAATGAATGTAATGTTAAATAAATTGTTATGTGATTTTTTGGGACAGATCTACGAAACGTGAAAAATGTTTGATTGGTAATAAGGAAGAAAGATTAACAAATGGAAAACTTGGAGTTGTACTTCGAGTTGTTCTTGATACAAAAAAAAAAGAAAAATCAAAGATTATCTTGTTTGTTCCAATTACAGTAAAAAGCTTAGAACATATCATTGTGACACTTGCGACAGTAAACCATGGCTATATATTAACGATTGTTTCCTTTATTATCACAGCAAAAAGGTATATATATAAATAATGAATTATATTTTGTAGAAATGAAAAATGATTACACAAATGGTTTTGTATTTTAAGAAAATCGCAGCGAAAAATTATTTTCAAACTAACATCTGTATGTGTGTGTGTGGAATGAATTACATGTATAAAAAATAACAATAAAACATAAATGAATTTCTTTTTTGTACTCCTATTTTGTGTAAAAAAAACTATCTCATACAATGTATAGTATACAGCAGCATCTTTTTTTATCGCTTCGAAATTTAAGAAAGTTTGTGTTTGAAGTTGGTTAAATGTTACTCTGTAATATTTTTGAAGTGATAAGGGTTAATTTAATCGAAAGGATACACTCTTTTTTTTCTTTTCTAAGAAAAAGCAAAGCCTTGGATTTTC